AGGGCCTTGGTGATCATGAAGACCCAGCCTGCTATATTCAGTCACTGAAATCTCAAGAGTGGAAAAACAGGTTCTAGTCCTAGTTCTGCCATTTAGCAGTGGGAAAATATGAGGCACTGTGCAGTCTATAGTATGCTCATACACAGAAAGAAGACATCCCTTTCTCAAGGGAAATTCGAGATCACCTGGATTAGGGCTCACTGATGCCCGTAGGGGCTGAGTCTCCCATATTCATCATCAGGGCCAGAGATAGAAAGCAAATGAAAAGGCAAGATCCCTAGCTATACCAGAGGTGACAAGGACATTCAGAGGAACAATTCTGTGAATGTCGGCTTTTTCCAAACATAATTTTATCTAACCTCACAACTACCTTGCAAAGTGAATACTTTGTTTGTTTTGGAAGGGTCTTGGGGCTTGAACTCTGAGCCTAGGTGCTGTCCCTCAGCTCTTCAGCTCAAGGCTAATGCTCTACCACTTGAGCCACAGTGCCACTTCCAGTTTTCTGAGTGGTTTACTGGAGATAAGAGTCTCATGGACTTTCCTCCCCGGGCTGACTTTGAACTGTGATCCTCAGATCTCAGCCTCCTGACTAGCTAGGATTATAGGCATGAGCCACCAGCACCCGGCCTAAGTGAATACTTTTATAACTATTTCAAAGATGAGAAACTGAGGCCACGAATGAAGTAACACATCCAAGATCACACAGACAGCCGGACTCCAGAGCTCATAAGGAGGGAGCATATGGCATCTTTTTTCCGGCACCCCAGTGGAAACAGATTGAGTGACTGGATCTATGCTAGGCCTCACTGCCCCCCAGAGGTCCTGTTTCAGACCAGATGCTGAGAGGACAAAACATCAAGCAGTCTCCACCACCTTATCTCTTTCCCACAGCTTAGGGTTTCCTAGCAAGCGGACATACAGGCACCTTCCCAGGGCAACAGCAGCTGGTGTACTGGCCCCCCTCCTACACCAAGTCAGGTCTTGTCTGAGGCCTAGAACACCCACAGGGCTATGAAACTGGCTTGTCTATTGAGGTTGGAAGAAAGCAAAGGGGAGAGAAAACTGGAGGGCCTGTGGTCTAGATTCACCGGCCAGGCCCCCCACCGCCATGTGGGGCTGCCTCTTTCCAGATGGGCCACCCAAGGACTCACTACCAGCTCCAGGCTCTCCTGGGATCTGTAAGCACCCAAGAAAAGTGAATGTCCTAAGCTTACAGACTAGAAAAGTGGCAGGAAAGCGAAGGAGGCAGGTTCCAGCTTGCCAGGAGGGCTCTGGCCTCAGACCAATTTACAGAGATGCCAATTAAGCCTGTTTTATGATTTCCAAAGTTGTAGGGCTGCCTTAATCAGCTAGAAAAATAGAATGCCCAGAGAGCAGGAGACTTGACGAAGCCAACACTGCTGTTCCAGATGTTTCTCCCTCGGCCCAGCTCAGATCCTTTGCTCCCATAACAGGAAGCCAACGCCCACAGGATCCCAGAGAGCAAAGCTCCTCACCTCATCTGGCCTACAGACTGAGCAGAGGGAGGTTGGGAGGGAGGCTGCAGACCCAGGCAGCCAGTCTTCATAATCAAGCAGGAAAAAGCAGAGGAGCAGAGGAGAGGAGCTCGCCTCTTCCATCACCAGGATACCAGAAGACCCGGTATCCACTGTATATCCCTCTTTCCCTTCCTTACTATCTCCTCCTCACACAGGTTTGTTCGTCCTACCCCCACCTGATAGGAAAGAGAACATTGATCCTCCCAAGCTTCTCCGCTGAGAACACCTGGTCTTCTTAGGATTTTCTCCAGCTAAGCCAAGAGAACTTATTGTGGCCAGCTCCTCTTTCTGTGACTGGCTGTTTTCTGGCCTCTGGCTACTGTTCAAAAAAGCAACAGGGAACATTTCAGTCCCACCAGAGGGTTCCAGCAGAGCAGATTAGCAAGGTGTCTAGATGAAGTTGAAGAAGCAGAAAGGCATAAGCCTGGCATCAGAAATTTTGGGGTTAACTCCAAGCTTTGCTCCTAACTGACTAAAGTGGCTTAGCACTACTCTTAAAGCTACCTGTAGGATGAGAAAGACCTTTTGGCTTTCTAACTTGGGATGCAGTAAATAAAAACTGAGTGTTACTCCCAGGCAGGAGTTAATGACAATAGCAAGGTGAATAAGCCTGGCCCCTACACCCAGCCAATCAGACTGATCATGATAACGCATTCTTACCCCACCAACCACCTAGTCAACCTCCTACACTGCTGAAGGGATTAAAAAAAAAAAGTGCTGAACCAGCAAAGGTGAGGGCAGGCAGGTTCCTATGGGGTACCTTCAGTTTCACCTGTCTGTCTGATACCCATTTTGCTGGAGCCAAAGGGCCACATTTATGGATGGCAAAGGCATGAGTCCTAACCTAGGAGTTCTGTCACTACAAGGCTCTGTTCCTCCTCTCTAGGCCTCAGTTTCTTCTGTCTAACAAAGCAGGTTGAAACTGGTCAATCTCTTAAGATTTCTTCCAGCTCATCCAATCTATGATTTTATCATCTATTCCTGCCAGGTAACAGACGTGTGAGCAAAACAGCCTGTTTTTCTTCCCCATTTTTAGCCTGTTGCAACTATCAAAACAGTTTTGTCTTGAGACAACCTTTGACCCAGGGTGGCTAAAGTGGATCTTTAATCTGGTGCCAGAGTCTCCACCATCTCCACTATACCCATCAGTGCTAATGTTTCACTTCTGTGGGCCAGCACATGGACTCCTAGCCCTCAACCACGAGACTGGGTTCAGGGCGGTCACCCTGAAACTTCCCACAACTTACTCTTGGCTTCTTCAGAACCACAACATAAAACTAATCAAGGAAGATCTAAGCTTTCCAATATCAGAGACTTTGCTGACAGGCTTCAAGTGAGGCAGGGACAGTTGTGGGCCATTTCAGCCCCAGCCTACAGACACCAGGAACTTAAAGGGTATCTGCAGAGCCACATCCTGAGTTTATGGTGTGGAGGAGGGGGAGACACAGATGTCTGGCTGACTGGTTGAGGAAGACTACAGCCAAAGGGAGGGGCTCCCATTGGGGCCTCTCTGCTCAGAAATACCAGAGGTACGCCCTCATTTTTCTTCTCATTCCTCAGACCCTTAAAAGGAAAAGGAAAGAAACAAACCTTTTCTGGGCCACTACTTGTACCAGTCACTCTGCAGGTGCCCTCACACTCCTGATTCTCACTTAATCCCTTCACTACTGGTGACTGTGGGCGTGACTGCTGCCCTTTCCAGTGGGTAAACAGGCTCAGGATCTTGCCCAACGTGGCATATAGCCAACAAGTGTGATTCCTAAGCTGGCCAGTTCCCAACTATACCACCATGCTCTGCACCCTGGGATCTGTCGATTGCCTGGGAAATATGCAGGAGGAAATCTCATACCTTACAATTCAACAAATCTGAGCTTTTACTTCCAAGACCTCCCAAAAGAAACTGGGAATTCCTTTCAGTTTTCAAGATCCCACCTCTCCCTAGTCTTGGTTCCTGGTTACATGGTACTACATCCTAAGTCCCCTATTGGTTCTCACAAGTTCATTCCAAGAAACTGAGACAAAACCTCCAATCAGGGGGAAGGATAAGAATAAGGGGTGCTCTCTTGAGTCTGGATTGGGATTGGATGAGCTTAGCCTGCTGTGAACAAGTAGGGAAGAAAGAGTGCTAGAGGAGACAGATCCAGGAGACCAGAAGCAACTCCCCTGAGGGGAGGGGCTTAGATTTCTCCTAGGGAGGAGGCCTGGTGAATGAATCGTTGGGGTGGCTTGTGTGGGACTGGATTCTTAGTCAAAGCATTTCCATAAGTCATGAGAAAGATTGGGGAACTCTTGAGCAGTCATGCCTAGTCTGAGAAGGGAGGAATGGGATCTTCTGGGTGGGGTCATGGCTGGAATAGGGTCCCCACTGTTAACTGTGGGGGCTGTCTCTGCTGAATGGGCGCCAGTGTCAGTTCTGTGCATACTTGTGACACATGTGACAAGACAGTTGGGATGGGAATGGGGTCTAGGAACTATCTTCTCTAAGGGGACTACCAGTTCACACCTGGGAGTACTGTGCTCAGGACTGAGCTCCGTCCTGCCCAGCTTGAGAAAGGTGCCTCATCTTTCTCCACGGGCCAACTAAGTGCTTGGGTGCTCAAGGGTGGAGGATCTGAAAGTGCCACCCAAATTAGGGACCTTGTTTTCTCCCCTCCTACTCACCCGCACCCCTCCCCGCCCAGATCTGGGTTTTGAGGAGGAAGTATATTCCCTCCCAGCCCACCCCACCCCCCAGCATCCCCAGAGTGTGCCAATTGGCTCCAGTGGCTTAAGTGGCTGACAGTGTGTCCTGGAGTTGGAGGAGGTTGAGTAGCTACTGGAAAGGGGGAGTGTCTGCCTACCTGTTGCCTGTGAGGATGGAGAGACCTGCCTTTGAGGGATGCGAGGGGAAGGGCCAGGAGGGGACTGTCTGTTGGGGACCTGATCAGTGGCAGCCCAATTAGAGATCTGATGTGGGGGACGGGGACAGGGCCCAGCAGTGGATCCTTTTTTAAGTCTGCTAGGGTTCCCGGGTGGACGAGAACACAGGGAGGCAGTGGGTCTGTGGGGGAGGAGACAGATGTTGAATTCTCTAGGCGAGCTGGGGAGGGGGCAGCCATCTGTGATCCCGTGGCGGCGCCGAGTTTGGGGCTAGTATCTTGTATCGGCCCCGCGGTCGGAGGAGGGCACTGTCAGTCCTTTTCGGGACAGTCTGTGTGGGGGGGGGGGGAACGGGGATGGGGAAGGAAGGAGGCGGGGTTGGCCTGTGGGTCCCCAGATCGGAAGCAGGGTTGCCGATCGACCGACCAGGGCGGGTCCGTGGGGAGGGAAGGGGTTGTGGCCCTGGCTTGCGGGGGGGGGGGGGGACCGGGACATGTTGGTCGGTCCTGACGGAGGCTAGGTCCGTTTCCAGGCCCACCCACCCCGGCGCAGGTCCCGCGCTGCCGGCCCAGACCCAGGCCTCGACCCCCGAGCGCTACTCACGCGCCCTCGGCGCCCTGCGAGCCCACGATGAAGCCGAACTTGTCGATGCGGCGCTCGGCGAAGCCGTTGACCTCTGAGTCGGAACCGAGAGAGCTGAGCTCGTCAGTGGTTGTGGCGTCGGGGCCCTGGGCCAGGCTTTCCCGAGTCCCCGACAGACTTCCCCCGGCCGCGGGCGCGCGCGGCCCATTCTCTCCGCTGCTCTTCGCCATCCCGGCCGCGCCCGCCGCCCGAGCCCCAGCGGCCACCTCAGCCACCTCAGACGCTCCAGCTCCCGGGCCTCCGCCGACGCCGACGCCGACGCCCCGCCCACGCGCCGCGACCATTGGCCATCGCAAAGGGGGGCGGAGCTCTAGGCCCAACGGGGAGCTCCCTCTTTTACGCTCAATGGGCGCCGCGAACTCCATGCCCCGCCCACTTCTAAGCTGGCGCCAACCGGCCCGACGTGAGGGGGCGGGACAGCCGTCATCAGGACCCCTCCTCCGCCGCCCCACCCCGGGCTGCCAATCACCTGAGAATTCACCTGGACTAGCTCTTCTGGCCTTTCCGGGTTGGCCAGGGCCCCGCCTGTCACCCTAGTGGTTTTCAGGTAAAGGCCTAGGGCTTTCCCCGGGGATTCAGCTTGCTGGGGCCCCGGCCTCCCCTGTACCCCAGGGCGTGGGTGGGGATTGTTCCTCCGTTCTTTCGGAGAATTCTGAGACAAGAGTTCAGGAATTCTCCCTAAGATACTGAACATCATCTAGACAGGGCCTGAGCTAGAGGTCTGGCAGCTGCCCCCACCTTCTTCACGACTTTGGAACTTTAAATTAGCATGTTGGAAGACTTTGGGGGTGGGGAAAGGGTGAAGAATTTGAACTCCGAGTCTGGTGCTTGTAGGGCTAGTGCTCTGTCACTTGAGCCCTGTCTCTCGAGCACAGCTCTTTGGCTGCCTGGACTTTTCTGCCCTGACTGGCTTGAACCCATGATCCTCAGGATCTCTGCTTCCAGAGGAGCTAGGATCACGGATGTGGACTACCTCCACCCGATTTTTTTTTTTTTTGGTAAGATAGTTTTGCTGTGTAGTCAAGTTGACCCTCTTCCTTTAGCCTCCACAGTGCTGGAATCACAGGCTCTATGTTTATTAAGAATTAAGAATAATGACAGCACTGGGCACTAGTAGCTCTTGCCTGGAATCCTAGCTACCCAGGAGGCTGAGATCTGAGGATTGTCATTTGAAGCCAGCAGAGGCAGAAAAGGGCCCTTGAGACTCTTATCTCCAATTAATCTCTCAAAAACCGCAAGTAAAGCTGTGGCTCAAAGTAGTACAGCACTCGCCTGGAGCAAAAGAGCTCAGGGACAGCACCCAGGCCCTGAGTTCAAGCCCCACAATCAACAACAAAAAAAGGAATAATGACAGGGATGGAGGCATGGCTCAGATGGCAATGCACTGGCCAGTGGCCAATGAGCAAAAGCATTGGATACCAAATTTCAAGTCTAGGAAGGAAGGAAGGAGGGAGAAGAAAAGAAAAAAGAGAAAAAAGCTGAGCGCCAGTGGCTCACGCCACTGCTACTCAGGAGACTCATCTGAGGATCTCAGTTCAAAAGCCAGCCCAGGCGGGAAAATTCATGAAACTCTTATCTCCAATAAACTACCAGAAAACTAGAAGTGGCGCTGTGGCCCAAGTGGTAGAGCACTCACTTGAGCTCAAGAGCTAAGGGACAGTGCTCAGGCCCCAAATTCAAGCTCCATAACCAACAACAAAATAATAATAATAATAATGACCTTCAGCTGGAAACTTGACTCAACTAGTAGGGTACCAGCCCTGCAAACATGAAGTTGACCTAAAGTCATTTGTTTTCCCAACAAAGTTATTGACATATAATAAACATATCCCAAATTCACTAGTTCAAAGTGTACAATGCTTGGGTATGATCTCTAGCACTGCAAAATAAGTTAAAAATAATAATAGCCAGGCACTAGTGACCCACATCTGTAATCCTAGCCATTCAAAAGTGTGAAACCTAGAGAATTTCAGTTCAAAACTAACCCTGGTGAACAAGTCTAGGAGATTCTATCTCCAATTAACCAGCAAAAAACTGGGATGGATTTCAGTGCTAGTGTCTTATACTTGAAATAGCTACTAAAGAGGCTGAGATCTGAGGATCACAGTTTAAAACCAGCCTGGGAAGAAAAGTCTGAAGTGCTCGTCTCCATAATTAACCACCACAAAACCAGAAGTGGAGCTGTGTAGCTCAAGTGATAGTGTCAACCTTCAGCGAAAAAGCTGAAGGGACAGTGCCCAGGCCCTGAGTTCAAGCCCCAGTACTAACACACACACGCACACACACACACCATGGTGGGAAGTGGAGGTGTGGCTTAAGTAGTAGAGCACTAGCTGTGAGTGACCAAGAAAGCTGAGCATTAGTGTCTATACAAGCACTACTACTACTACTAATAATAATAATAAGTCAGCATAATGGCATATGTTGTAACTTGAATCCTCAGGAGGCTGAGCTAGGAAGATTGCAATGTCAATGCTAACCTGTGCTACTTAGAGCCTGTCTCAATAAGCAGAACATGTAAGTAATGGGTCTTAGCATAATTTCAGGATTGTTTAATCACAATCTAATTTTGGAACATGTTTATCACCCCAAGAAGACACTCATACTCATTAGCAGTTACTCCATACCGCCACCACTTTCCTACCTCCATCCTTGGTAATTGCTTATCTACTTTCTGTCTGTAGATTTGCCTTTTCTGGATATTTCATATAGAGAGTGATGTAGCTTTTGTATCTACCCTCCCTCCCCCCTCACCCCCCACTTCTCTTTTGTCCATTGTGGGGCTTGAACTCAGGGGCTAGGTGCTGTCCCTGAGCCTTTTTTTTTTTTTTTTTGAGGCTTGAACTCTGGGCCTGGGCGCTGTCCCTGAGCTCTTCAGCTCAAAGTGAACACTCTACTACCTGAGCCACAGTGCCACTTCCGGTTTTCTGAGTGGTTTATCGGAGATAATGGTCTTACGGACTTTCCTGCCAAGAGCTGGTTTTGAACCATGATCCTCAGATCTCAGCCTCTTGAGTAGCTAGGTTTACAAGTGTGAGCCACCTACCCCTAGCTTGCCCCTGCACTTTTTTGCTGAAGGCTAGTGCTCTACCATTTGAGCTGCAATGCCACTTCCAGTTTTTGAGTGTTAATTAGAGATAGCAGCCTGCCCAGGCTGGCTTCAAACTGTGATTCTCAGATCTCAGTCTCCTGAGTAGCTAGGATTACAGGTGTAACAGCCAAGGGTGCCTGGCTTATTCTTCCCATTTTATAGGCATGGGAACTGAGAGCAAAGTCAGTTGCTGAAGGTCTTATAACTAGCTTATGGTAGAGCCAGTAGTTGAATCTAGCTCTCACCAACTACTTATGTTGAGAAGCCTAGACCAATTTTATCTACATGAATTTAGCCCCCAACAGCCAACTTCTGATCCTGGGGATTGTCCAATCTTTATAGTTATAATGATAGTTCCTCACTTCAGTACACTATGATTTACATAATATATTACATACACTCTTGGTATCATCTGACACTCCCCTACAGACCTGAAGTAGACTAGCCCAGAAAGGAGAGACTGGAAGGGATGGGTCACAGCTGCAGAGCCTGAGACAGGCTTCAAAGAATTCAACACAAGCTCTAAGAGGGAGCCTAAGCCTTGAATGATTCACCAGCTGTTTCCTTGATGCCACGTGGCTCAGAAATTCTTGCAGATTTCACTGTAGTCTTCACATTCCGTAGGCTTCTGGCTTGCAACAAACAGCAATGGCAGATGGGAGTGGGGTAACAAGTTATTCTGAACTCAAAGCCTTAGTCTGGGACGATGATTGAAATCTGTTGTGGCTCAAGAGAACGGTAGGCTTTTAGATCCAAGCTCCCAAAGGGGCTGGATACCCCAGGAGTGTTTGGGCTGGGCTAGGGACACACCAAAGGGCACTTGGGTGTCTGTCTGTCCATCTTTGGAAAACTAGATAGAGAGTACTCCATTTCTCTGTGTGCCAGCACTGGGGTTTGACCTTAGGGCCTAGGCACTGTCCCTTAGCCTTTTTGTTCAAGCTAAATGCTTTACCACTTGCACCATAGCTCCACTTCCAGCTTTTTGGTGGTTAATTGGAGATAAGAATCTCACTGACTTTCCTACACAGGGTAGCTCTGAATGTGATCCTCAGATCAGCCTCTTGAGTAGCTAGAATTATAGGAGTGAGCCACTGGCTCAGGGCAACATTACTCCATTTCAGGCCTGATGCTCTAGCTTTTGTCTTACACTGAATCATTCAAATTGCTGTGAGGCTTTTTGTTTTGTGCCAATGGTAGGGCTTGAATTTATGGCCTGGGTGCTGTCCTTAAGCTTTTTTGCTCGAAGTTAGTGCTCTACTGCTTAAGTCACAGCTCCAAATCTTACTTTTCTTTTCTTTTTTTTTTTTTTTTTGGTCGGTCGTAGGGCTTGAACTCTGGGCCTGGGCGCTGTCCCTCAGCTCTTCAGCTCAAGGCGAGCGCTCTACCACTTGAGCTACAGCGCCACTTCCGGTTTTCTGGTAGTTTATTGGAGATAGGAGTCTCACGGTTTCGGTTTCTCCTCCCCGGGCTGGCTTTGAACCGCGATCCTCAGATCTCAGCCTCCTGAGTAGCTAGGATTACAGGCGTGAGCCACCAGCGCCCGGCTCTGAATCTTACTTTTCTTGTTCTAGCTTGCTTCCAACCACAACCAGAATCTCAGTAGATAAGATTACAGGTGTGAGCTACAGGAGCTGGGTCTTTATTTTTATTTATAGATAGGGTCTTGTTCAGGCTCAAACGCCTAGGTTTAAGTGATCCTATCCTCCTGCTTCATCCTCCCGAGTAGCTGGGCCTATAAGCATGTGTGCTCAGCTTCTCTGAGGTAATTTTCTCATCTGTGAAATGGAAATCTTCAAAAACAAAACAAAGAAAAACACCCTTTGGAGGAGTTGCTCTGAGATTTGGTGTGACACAGTGTGCTAAGCCTGTGGCCCAAGAAGACATCCAGTAAACAGAGGCTAGGAGTGACAGATTTATGATTTGCATATTCATTATTGTTTTCCACCACAGCCTGTGGCTGAAGTAGGGCGTTAACCTAATTTACTCAATAGCACATAGCTCCTAAGACTTTGCCACATCTCTGTATCTTCTACAAACTGGGTGTTCTTGCACAAAATTGCTTAACTTTTAAGAATTTTATTTTCCTTCTTCAAAATGCAGAAATGCCAATAATTACATGGTGAGTCAGAAAGTCCTGTCTCTGAAGCCTGC